TTTTCTTTAATGATAAGAAGAGTAAGGAGATAAGCTAAAACTCAATATTTACTTGTGTGGCAGGAGGCAAGTTTTTCTCTGAAACTTGTCATGCATCTGTAAAGCTCTGTGTATGCCTGTGATTTGCAGTAGTAGGAAGGATCAGTTTGCATTGCTTCATGAATGAAGAGGGTTCAAGGAGAGTTCTGCCCATGGAAACCTTCATCACAACAAGATCATAGTTTTCAACCCTTCAGCTCTATGAGAGCCACAGTCTGTTCCCTAGTCACTAGCTTAAATTGCACCCACCTCCATTACTGTTCTGTCTCTGAAAGGCAAATATCTTCTTACAAAACAGCCCTATACTCTTTAACATGTTCAGTGATTCCTAGCAACAACCAAGCCCAGCAGCAATTCACAGCAGAAATAATGTAGAGCACTTAAGTGGGGATGTGCAAGGTCCTGGGTCATGCTGCACTTGCAGTCAGCTTGTATCACTCTGCAGTCATCAGTATATTTCAAATACTGCTTTGCTATCAGAGTTAACAGAAGTGAACTTGGCACCATTAACATACAAATCAGTGGCAGTTCAAGAAGTTTCCGAAGACATTTTTGGCCCCATGTGGACCATTGAGGTCATTTTTAACCTCTGGGAGAGGCACCCTGGCATAGAGTTTACAGCAGTATACACAGACAAAGTGGTGCAATTTGAAGGCAGTAGGAAACAAAATCTGCTTTCTTCTCTAAGACACATGGGATCAACTACTTTTGTTAACTCTGTGATTCTTTCCTAAATTGCTATTATTTAGTCTTTGAAAATTATGGGGCTTTGCTGGTACCTGCAGCTGCTGACCAACCCACTGGATCAAGGGCTTTGAAGTGCAAATGTTGCAGACAGCCAAGTGTTTGCTGCCTGGAAGCTTCTCACATGGAAGGATTTAGGAGCACCCCTAACTGTCAGGAAGCTTTCATTTCAATGGGAAGACTTTCAAGTGAGAAAATGTACTTCTCTTTCAGCTGTGGAAAGAGCCCTGAGCAGGTGCAGAACCTCTCACTCCCACCTCTGCTCTCATGAAAGGGAGTGTAACCATTGAGTCATGGACAGTTAGCGCAACAACATAATGCTGAGTGGTAACTTTTTCTCCTGGGAGAAAAATGAACACATTTCTATGTCATTTTTAGGGTAGGAAAGATAGAAAGTTATTTGTATTTTTAATGTGCATCTTAGGGCAAAAATATCTAGAGTGAGGTGGCTTAAAATCCACTTCAGTTTCAGTCAGAAGGTCACATGCTGGTGGTGGTACTGGTAGGTGCTGTTCTGCCATTTTCTGCATGAGAAAAGGTGAATTGAGGAGAGATTTAGGATTTTCTTTTTGCACAGTACTTGGGTTGAACCTGCAACATCTTACAACTGAATGTCCTGAACACTAACTCACTGCAAGTTGCTACCTGTCATGAATGAAAAATGCTTTTTCTGTGGGTTATCTCAAAAGATTCTTTCATTCACGAAAATTTAATCCCTCATTGTTTACGTTTAGTACTGTATAGAGTAACTGTGTACAGTTATAGACCATGAGGTAACACTCTTTTTCCTCTCGCTGTTCTTCAGAGTAGACAGGATTATTATTAATTAAACTTTTAAATGTTAGAGCAAAGCATGCAGTGCAAGAGCAGACAGATGACTTCACAGATGAACACGTTTTCATTAGCAGATACATTTTTTGCAAGGTGATATCTATGACCAGAGAGATTTCCATTACAGGAACTGTCCTCACAGTATGGTTTCTCCGTCTAAGCTTTCCTTGCCCTTCGTCTGGCTGCCTCCACCCACATGTAAAAATAGGATGTCTCCTTCCCTGTTTGTTCCAGGAATACAGTAAAGAGAATTCAGAAGGCTGAAGGAAGGCTCAATTTAATTATTTTCATTTATTTTAGTCATTGTGTATCATTTCTGAAAACAATACCTGCCTTGCTTGGCAGAAGAGCTGAGTTAGTTCTCTCCAAATGAACTTTTCCATGCTGTGTGCACTTCAGTTTGCGACTGAAGTGGAAGGAGATGAGAAGAAAACCAGTTCATTACACGGTTGTTACACCTTGCAGTATTTTCCATTGAGGAACCCTCTTCACTTGTCAGTTTCAAACAGTATTAGATACTGCCATATTTGGAAGATGGAATCCTTAAGCACTGATCATTTTTATGCTTTGAACTGTTATTTGTTTGACAAGGTTGGATTTTTTTTGGCTGGAATCCATTGAATTCTGGTTTGGCAATGACTAGAGGCTGCTTTCACACTCTGCAAAGTGCAATTGGAAAGACTTACACCATAACTTGTCGCATTACTGATGAAAATAGCACTTATGTTTTCCTGAGGGTTTTCTGGTAGCACTGTGTGGTAGCAAGCAAAACTGATTTATTAATATTTGTGATATAAGCTCCTCCCTCTGGAGGCATTTTTCTTTCACCCTGTCCTGTCAGAACTTTACTGAGAGCACAGATTTGTCAAAATAAAACAAAACAGCTAGCAGCTCTTCTAACTCATCAAAATCCATTTGCAAGATTCTGTTTTGACTGGAACAAAAACCAGAAACACACAGCTGAGTCAGTAAGTGAAACTTTTAGCCTTCATGAACTGCTGGAAGTTTTGAAATGGTTACATCAAGTTAAGTGGTCTTAGAAGTACAAAAAAGTGAAAGATACAGAATTGGCACAAGTTGTAGAATCATAACATCAAAAATATGTTGGGTTGGAAGGGATCTTTAAAGGTCATCTAGTCCAGCCCCCCTGCACTGAGAAGGGACATCTTCAGCTACATCAGGTTGCTCGGAGACCAATCCAACCTGACCTTGAATGTTTCCAGGGATATGGCATCCACCACCTCTCTGGGCAACCTGTTCCAGTGTCTTAGCACCCCTGTTGTGAAAAAGTCTACTTTTTATCTAGTCTGAATCTACCCTCCTTTAGTTTAAAACCATTACCCCTTGTCCTCTTGGAATCAGCACTGCTAAAAAGATGGACCCGTCTTTCTTATAGGCCCTCTTTAAGTATTGAATGGCTACAATAAGGTCTTCTCACACACAGCCTTCTCTTCTCCAGGCTGAACAACCCCAACTCTCTCAGCCTGCCCTCACAGGAGAGGTATTCCAGCCTTCTGATCACTTTTGTGGTCCTCCTCTGGACCCAATCGTACAGGTTCATGCCATTCTTGGGTCCGGGGCTCCAGAGCTGGACACAATACTCCAGGTGGAGTCTCACCAGAGCAGAATAGCAAAATCACTTCCCTTAACCTGCTGGACATGATTCTTTTGATGCAGCCCAGGATATGGTTGAGCCTTCTGGGCTGTGAGCACACATTGCTGTCTCCTGCCCACCTTTTCATTCCCCAGTACCCCCAAATCCCTCTCTGCAGGGCTGCTCTCAGTCACATCATGCTCCAGCCTATATTGATACTGGGGGTTGCCCCAAGCCAGGTGCAGGACCTTGCACTTGGCCTCGTTGAAACTCCTTAGGTTCACGCAGGCCCACTTCTCAAGCTTGTCCGTGTGCCTCTGGATGGCATCCTGTCCCTCTGACATGTCAACTACACCACACAGATTGATGTCATCTGCAAACTTGCTGAGGGTGTATTTGATCCCACTGTCTGTGTCATTGATGAAGATATTAAACAGTCCTGGTGCCTGTACAGACACCTGAGGAACACCACTTGTCACTTGTCTCCATTTGGACATTGAGCCATTGACCTCTGTCGTTTGGATGTGACCATCCAACCAGTTCCTCATCCACCAAACAGTCCACCCGTCAAATCCATCTCTCTTCAATTTAGAGAGAAGGATGTTGTGGAAGATCAAGTCAAAGGCCTTACAGAACTCCAGACAGACAACATACATAGCTCTTCCTTTATCCACTGATGTAATCAATCCATCACAGAAAGCCACTCAGCTACTCAGGCAGGACTTGCCCTGGGTGAAGTCTGTTTGAAATACTGCACCTTGTCTAGGTGCTGGGCATGTGAAAGTTTGATATTTTGTATCCTAAGATGATGCTTTAAAGCCTTCTTTTTCTTTGAGTAGAAAGTGTTCAGACATTAAAGTTAAACTAGTAGGCATTGCGTTTCCTGCAGGGAACCATTTTTGGCTCTCCATGGCATGAAAGGCAGATAGAGGTGAGGATGAAATGTCCAGGAATGAGTTTTAACAGGGTGCTAACCTCCAGGCATGGACACTTAGAACCACTGTGTATGCAGTGGGTAATACCAGAGGTTGGCAGCACTGTTAACAGCTCTCAGCACTAGCTTCAGCCATGGATCTGTTCTTTATCTGAAGATTCTACAAAGGAAAAAAAAAGGAGCCTTTCTGACACTGACTGCACACGAGAGCCAGGTTATCTTCAGGGTCCTGTTCTTCACAGACCATCGCTTTTCACTCTTATCATGCAAACAGCTTTAGGGAGATATTGGATCTGGCTGTTTTGCTGGCCAGTGGCAACCACATTGCATACAGGAATAGAAGAGCATCAACATGCTCCTTACATGAAGGGAAGTTACAAGCATACCAGCAGTTAAAAAACACAATCTGCTCCTTCTTAAATCTATTGTCTCAGTTACCTTGAATGTTTACATACATGCATGCATATGGTATTTGAGTAACAGAAATAACCCTCCTCTGGTTCTTTACACCTTTCAATGTTATGTCATATAAGAGGACAGGCTGGATCAAGGCACATGGACAGAGGACAGTCACAGGCAATTGTATTCCCAGGTGTTCTGCAGTTCTGGTCCACATTCCTTGTGGTAAGGCACTGTTACTAATGATGGTCACTTCCCACTTCTGTAACAAAGTGAACAGGTTCAGTGAACTAATTTGGTACGGCCATTATTGCTTCTGGCAAGGAGTTTTTTGAACTTTGTGTAAAAGCAGGAAAGAAGTAGAAAAGAGGCAGCTCCTGTTAGGATATGACTCTGGAATCTAGGACAAAAAACAAGGATTTGTGCTATAATTGCAACCATTCTGTTTGTACTTTGCAGTGAGCCACCTCTATGGATTTGGACTGATGGATGCTGAAGCAATGGTGATAGAAGCAGAAAAGTGGACAACGGTCCCTCCACAGCATGTGTGTGTGGAGAACACAGATCGGCAAATCAAGTAATACCCGCTGCCCAAACTCTTGCTGGCATAAACTTATGGAAAGAAATTGGGTATAATTTACCCCTCCCTTGCATTGTGTATAATGTTTCATCTTGAAAGCTATACTGGGCATCTCTGTCACCTTCACAGATGGCAGGTCAATTGTCTATAATGTTGTTCCTTTCAGTGCTTGGAAAAGGGCCCTAGTGTGAAGAATGCCCCAGAAGTTGAAGGTGTAAAACAAACCAGTCTGGATAATGATTGATTCCGGTGTAGATGATACACCAAAGAAGAATAATGTTTAGTTGAGTGCATTGCAATCACCTTTGTAAGATGAGTCCAGACTTACCAGTCCAGGATCTAAAAAGCGAACACTCGTTTCATTAAAATACGGCACGATACTGTCTCTCTGAAACAGTCAAGGGTTAGCTCAGAGGCTAAGGCTAAACTGCTTTCAGCTTGCTAGGATAGAGTTTCTATAGAATCAGGCTTAAGAGCCAAATTTTGTATGTGCACTCTATGGATACAGAGACAGCATCAGTCATAAGGCACAATTCCAAGGCATTAAGGTTGTTGTCTGATAAATATTTTTGACAGGCTTGATCCATAGCTGGTGTAGTCTGCATGGATGGCGTGCCAGATTAAACCAGCTGAGTCAGATGCTGTTTGGTACAGTTAGCATGTAATACTTGCTATCACATAGGCAGGGACTATGGCTATGCCAGGTATTTCCTGAGGCTTAACAACCAGCTGTGACCCCATGACAATCCCAACAATTCTCAGCTGGCAACTAATCCACAAAAATGCTCTGTCCCAAAGGCTTATTTCTATTACAGGTTTGTCACTGTCTTCTTTTAGCATGTGTATGTGCTTAATGAAAGCCAGGTAGTTGTGTGGTGACAGTGTCAGCTAAGAAGCAAGTGATAAAACTTAACAGTTATAGGCTACTGACGTCTCAGAGATGGTTGTCCAATGCTGTCATTCCCTACTAAGCGAAAAATATGTGGTTTTATTTTACAGAATAAGCAAGAAATGCTGATGTTGTTTCATATGCTTATATTATAGAACAATACGACCTGACAGCATTGTCCGCTCAATTTACAAAGCCACTGGCTGTTCAGACAATCCTAACCACCATGTGATCTACTTGGAGCATGTGGTTGTGCGCATCACTATTACTCACCCTCGACGTGGAGACTTGGCAATTTACCTGACCTCTCCTTCTGGAACTAGGTCACAGCTCTTGGCCAACAGGTACAGTATGACTACACAACTTCACAGTCCACTCAGCATGCGAGCCCGCACTGAGATTGCAGAATTCGCAAAGAACAGTCAGGTCATTACAGTAGGTTCACTGACAGACAAAGGCTAATTATTTTTTTCTGGAGACATGGTGGGAGTGAAGTGCAAATGAACTCAAACATGGCAATCTCTGTCTTTATCAGTAGAAGAGCAGGCTGTAAAGCTGTTGAAGGACATCATCTGCAAAACAAAGATTAGGCAACTTTGATAGTTTTATGTGGCTCACCAATTATTAGCTGGCTGGAAAATGTGCAGAAAATACTGATAGGCTCAGTGTTTTGAGAAGGAAGCTGAATGAAGTGTGTTTCTACTTACTGTTGGCACTTATTTTTAATTTTTCTAATTTCTTACCCTTTATTCACTAGTAATAAAAATCAGACAGAATAGTAATTCACTACTACTGTTTCTTTAAGCTTTATGAATATGGTTATGACTCCTGATGTTTTTCATATCCTTTTTTTCCCCCTTGCATACTGAAGTCATATGCGCAGTGCATGAAAGGCTTCTAGTAGGACAGGGCAGACAAATTGCGGTAATACTTTGAAATTAAGGGGTCCGTTTGTAAACAGCCTATTAAAATTTTTAAAAGTTTAAAAATTTCCTTCATCTCATTGATCTGTTATGGACACTTGGTTTTGAATGTGCAGCCTCTCTAACAACCACCACCAAGAAAAAACAGTTCTTTTTTCTTTATCACCTCTGTATTATGTTCTTGGAGAAACAATTGTCTCTTTTTGTCCAGACTGGACTCAAACAAGTAACTTTCTATCCAATGGAGCATTTCCAATATCAGTGCAATTTCAGTCTCTGGAGATGAGGTGCATCATTAGTATTTGTCCTCAGCAGGCTGAAAGACTTCCCAGTGATAATTCTATTTTTCTAGCCTACCAGCAGAAATTTTCTTGGAACAAAATATTGGCAGTCCTTCCCAGATAAATCTTGTTAAATCAGTGATCAAGTGCACTGCATCCTACCAGAAATGGTTAAAGCACCAAGAAACACCAGAAATCTTCTCAACCTCTACCTCATTTCCAAATGTATGAGTAAGTTACAATAACAATAAGAAATTATTATATACTTCTCCAACTGACTAAAAAACCTTCTTCCTGATGGGACCATAGTATGATAGGGTATTTTCTGTCGTTAGTGGATTCAGATAAGTGCTGTTCTGCTGGACACAGAAGCTCTCACATAAAAGCTGATGTTAGCTGATGTTATGTATCTCAGAAATAGAGTTGTGAGAACTCTTCTGCCATCACACTCAAGTCTTCACAGAAGTTTATATTTCCAGCCCTAATCTTCAGGGCTTTTAATGAATTGGGAATGACCTGCTTTCTAGATTGCCTTGTCATCCACATTCCCCCAGCCGGATTTGCTGATACAGTGACTATCTAGCCCTGGAGACTGCTGTGTCTTCCTGTCCCTCAGTGGTAGAAAGACTTAACTTTCCTCTTGAAAGGAAGAACCTGTTTTGGAGACAGGTGGAGCTCAAATAGACGTGGTTATAATTTAAGTGTACGCCTACATTTTCATTAGAGATTAGGTTGATTTAAAAGTAAATAAGTTAATTTAACTGGAAATACCCTTCAAGCTGTAGACATTAATTCGTTAAACAGATAAAAAGTTATCCTGGATTTTGGGGCCCCCTAGAAAATCTCCTGTTCTCCCTTACAAGTGTTGTCAATGCCTTGCTTTATCAGCGCACGAGCACACGTCCGTGTGTCTCCTTGCAACAGTGACCAAAGAATTTCTCCTCTGCTAACCAGTGCAGAGGCAGACTTCTGCCATCTAAGCAGTTATGAAACAGGCTTTTTTTTTTTCTGTTTGAAGAAATTCTTCTTTAGTTTTCTATTTCATTTTCATGTAGCAGTTCTTCCATGCTTCAAAATGAAAAAAATTAAGCCCTCCAACTAGGTATCCAAAGAAAACACTCTCGTGTAAACCCAGTGGTCTTAACACAGCTAACTTTTGGCTCTAAGCTTTCATGTCTTGCAGCTGACTCACAGCAAGTGGGAGATAAAGACATTCCAGTATTCACAGTTCACCTCTGGTGAAGACTGGTATGTGGAAAAGGTACAAAGTTTAACTCAATCAGTGTCTTTGTAAACCCTGCACCTTAGAAAGTAATTAACTTCTGTACCTGTGGTAGAAAGAGAGAATGCAAATTATGTATTAAAATAAGGTCATGTTCAACAGTCTCTCATCCTACACTATCAGAAGTCTAACCAGAAAACAAAGAAACCTAACAGACTTTTTAATGTTTCGCCACTTTCCAAAAAAGAAATCCATGACAGAGCAAATCCTCACACAGCTACAGCAGG